GTTCTAAACAGGCATAGACATCTTGTTATATTGTACATTGTAACATTTTTTCTCCCTTCTGTCATTTACAGACCAGACTCCTGAGAACAGCTCACTTTCGTCTGAAGCCTCACCTGCCCTATCACTGTCATTGATATCAGTTTCACCCCGAAGTTCATCATCCACCTCGTCCAGCAGCCCAAAACTTGACACACACTGGGAGGACAACTTTGAAATTCCATGGACTAAATTTCCAGAGGAACTGATGCAACTTTTGGAGAGGGGAAAAAGGCCAGGCCCAAAACTCAGGAGACAGATGGTCCTGATTGTTGTGACTGAAATGATGGAAACATGCCCTCACGTAGGTAAAAAGCACTCAACTGATGTCGCAAAAAAATGGTGGCAAAATACCCCAAATCTTTGCAAGATGTCATAGAGGGAGACATTGTAGGCACAGGTTACCATTCCCTTGTGAAACAGTTGCAAAACAGAATAGAAAATGTGAGGCGCACTCCAACACCCCAAATAAGAAAAAGAAAACATGAGTAACTCAGACGACACAGATGAGATCCCATTAGTGGAGATCGCAGGAGTGCAGGACACTTACGGATGCATTAAATGGAAYGTACAATTCCTGCCTCGTGAAGAAACTCAAGAAARCCAGCAGCAAAAGATGGAAAAACTCAAGGTGATRTTTCAACAGTCTGATGCCAATCCAGAGGAGGTGAAGGGTCTTATGAAGTCCACCTTTTACACACAGTGCCAACATGTCAACCAGAGTAAAAGTATCAAGTGCCTCAGAGAGGAGTGGCCATTTTTGTTTGATGAAATTGGCATGCCAGTCCACTTCAAGGAACTCACTGGGATCAACCTCAAAGAGACATTCATACGCAATTTGGATTTAAAGGGGAAAAGGCTCCTCAACTACCTGACCACTGTTTGTGTCAAGTAGAATAAGAAGGTCCTTTAGACCTACGCAAGACTTTAGAGGATGAAAGAGAGATGGTCCTGTTTCTCAGCTTTTTGATGAAAAGGTGGAGTCCATATTCTTCTATGTACCGTATTTTTTTGGACCATAAGCCGTGACCTTTTTCCTGAACTTTGAACCATGCGGCTTATAGTCCGGTGCGGCTTATACGTGGATTTTTTTCTTCAGCCACCAGGGAGCTCTTATGCTGCATTTGCTTCAACCACTCGCTTCAAAAAAAGAAAGGAAAAAAAGGAAGAAAAAAGTGATCGCTTCCAGAGCCGACTGTTGTACCAGGAAGCAGCAATTTAAAGATAGTCAATGACCAAAAACTCATAAAAGGGGATAAAACAGACATTTTTCATGGTGGAATCTGACTGATAAAAACTTTGGAGCTTAATCCCGGACCAGTTTGTGGATAAACGTCGAGTGAAGAGCCACGGACATTTTTTTTCTGCATTGCACTCCCCGGGGAAGGAATCCCATGCAGTGATGTATGCTGGAGCGGGAGTGCTTTCCCAGCATCTCGGCTCGGGGTTTCTCGGGGGAACTATGAAAGGTCAGTGCGAAAACAAACGTCAAACAACCACGTGACGACGGGTCGACCGGTCAAAAGCCGAGCGACCATACTGCCAGCTTAGCCGGAGGTGTAGCGCCATTTTGTTTTAGCAAGTAGCAGATACGACATGACGGATCTTCGACAGACACGATATTGGACAGTATGCGGGCCCACATCACAGATTCGGTGAAAGCAGCCATCAAGAAAACAAACTCAATTCCTGCTGTTATTCCTGGAAGGTACAGCAAAGTTTTTGCAACCTCTGGACATCAGTGTGAATCGTGCATTTAAAGCAGCACTCAGGGCTGAATGGGAGGCTTGAATGACTGACGGGGATAAATCATTCACAAAAACTGGCCGAATG